CGCCTCCGGCGGACTCGCCGATCTCCGCCCTCGAATTATTCCTCGGTCATTATACCGCGATTACCCAACAGTATGTGGGTGTAATACGAGAAATAAGCGTGCACTTTTGGGGGGACGCTAGGATCTGGTGACAAACCGAATAAATACTGCGAATGCGAGCGGCCCACCGCGTTTATTTGGCGCCGCTCCGAAACACATGTTCGTCCATCTGCTCTCCTTGATCTTTCTCTCCTGCTCTTTTCCTCTCTCCTTTTGTCTTGAACCGCGTTGAAAATAATTCTCGCATGTAGGACACAACGCACGAGGCATTTTTATTTAAGGTATATCAATCGATGGTTCATTTTGCACATTTTTATAGAACAGTAATATTATATGGGCCGGAATAGATTCGGATCGATTTTTGAAAGTGGAACTCTACCTTCCAAGTTTCCACCGACGTGGCTTCCAATCTCGCTGGCCGAGCGGCGTTTACATGCAAATTGGATTCGATCCTTCGGTTGCCTCCGACTTCCGTCCTCCCCGGCATTACCGATTCTAATGCGATAACCCCCGAAGAACTTTATACTCTTAAGTCGCGTATACTTTGGTTCCGGGGCCACACGGATTACCGGAAACGTTTCTTCCAAAAGTGCGCGACCGGAGTACGCGCGTTCTAGGGCGTTTACCCGGGTGATTACGAACGTCTCGTCATCGGGCACCGAAAGCGTCATATTTTCAGAAAAGACGTCATGTTCTCCGGGGTACATGCTATTCAAGGCACGCGATAGTGTGTCTTTACGGCTCGTACCCCTTTCAGCTCCTATTATGGAGAGCGATCGACAACAGTGGGGACCTCCTTTGTTACGGACCTCTGGCTAGCATTGTTGCGGATCACCGCGCCACGCGACAGCTGTTCGATAGTATCGATATCGCGGCGACGTTATCGAAACGTCGGCCGATTTGCGACAGCGAGCCCTCTCGTCGGAAACAACCGGGACGGATGTTAAAATTTTAGGCGATTCGGTACCCTCGGGTCGGAGAATAACTACGTAAGCGATTGATCCCTCGCGTGCCGTATTCATATCGCCTTAATAGGCCCCATGACGGTCCTCTTTCGAGCCCGGGATTTCGGGTTCTCGTAATACAACAAGGAGCTCGGGGGTGCGGATACAAAATGACGGCCAAAGCGCAGGGAAACCAAACGTTCTCGAAGGGTATGGGAGGGCAAACGTTTCGATGCTCGAAGTGCAGCCCGGGACGGCTGTCGCAACAATTCGAGTGTTTGTCTAGGACAACGCGAACCACGGGGCAGATTTCAAATCTCGCGGGTAAATGGGAGTTATTCGAGGCCAACTCTGATTTTTAGACCGGAATAAGAAATCGTATCGAGGTCTCGTGTTTCGATAGTAAATTATTTTTTCTACGCCACGAGATGATTTCCGATGTCCCATGAGCGATGACGTCCCCATAAATACTCGTGAATGGGGCACGATAATCTCGACGGGACCCCATTTCGAGCTTAACCAACCGCGTAAGCACCTCTCGCGGTTGACAAAAGGGTTTCATCCCCGAGTACCAGTCGCAGGCCCGTGCTAATAGATTACTTATACAAATTCCCGCCGTGGGCAAAGCCCAACGAGATCGGCTCTAAAATATTCATAGAAACGGGTAATGCGCGGCGGCGCCCTGGTGCATCCAAATAAGGCGTGCTCCTCGATAAGGAACGTGTCCTTTCGGGAAGTCATCTTAATACATTTTAAATTATCGATACTACTTAAAAAAAAATAATAACGACAAGGGAGCCGGGGAAAAGCGGGAGAAGAAATTCCGGGTTTTGTCGGGGTTCCAGGACCAAGGAGCGGAAGAGGGAAGAAGGGGTGAGGGAAAAGAGGGTAGGCGTGAACTCGCAAATTGAGCGTTTAACGGAAGGAGTGGGTGTCCACTCTTCGACCGGTCATCCCGGTTTATTGTCCGCGGTCAAGAGCAGCTTCTCTCCGGTCCTCGAGTCCTTTGACGGGAGCCCACGCCCCGGCACAACCCACAATGGCCGCTGTCTCGGGACAAAGGCCAAACACCCAAAATATTGGCAAATCTGGCATTCAGGCTCGGCCAGCTCGCGTTAAATATCTCGAATCTGGACCGCGGGCCCCTTAAACTAATCCTGTTACACGGCCAAGCGGTCACGTCCTCGTCGACTCTTCAGGATCGACAAAGTCCCGATCGGGACCCGCGAGACTTCCGTTGGCTGCCGATTAGGGTCCCGCCACCCTTGGAGTCTCGCTCCTTTGTCGAAATTCCTGCCACAAAGACTGTTCTCCCTCTTATTTCGGACCCCCCGATAATTGACGCTTTTCCGGGAGGAGTTCTTTTGCCCTACCAAAATTAATGCGAAAATAGTATAAATACCATAAATCCGCGCTAATCGGTTTATCCAGATTCATCGCGACGGATCGAGGTCTTCGTTCGTCGTGCCGTGGATCGAAACTTCGTTTGTTACGGGGATTTCAAATGGCGGCGAGGGCGGAAGGAACGTCAAAGGGAGGAGGTCGAGGACGGGGGCGATAAAACGCTGCAGTTTATAAATTGTGAATATTTAAGGAGTCCAGGCCCGGCTAGGGAGGCTTTCCCGAAGTATTATATTTACCGCGGAAACCGAATGGCACCGGCCGGGAAAGAAGCCCGTGCTTAGGAAACACTCGGTACTCGACGTACCGAGGCGCATGCCACCCTTTGAGTTACCCTCAAAGCTAATGGACCGTTCCCCGTGTTCTCTCTCTATTATCCGTATTAACCTCTCCTTCGACGCGACGATCGTGCCTCCCTGCCCGAGCGCGACGTCTCCTTCCATGAACAAAAAATATTTTTTTTGGTCTTGTAATTTAAAACTCCATATCGAATATTAAGTACCCTGTACGTTCCCGATTGATCTCGATTTTAATTCGAAATTCAAATTCGCGTTGCTTAAAACCATTTTTTACTTTACATATTTCTAGTTTATCTTGACTATTGCATAGAGGATGTCTAAAGGAATTGATTTACAGTGGGATGTCACATTTGGGGTTGGGACTTTTCGCGAAAAAAAAGGATAAGAGATCGATCCATTTCGGAAACCTCGCAAATGCGCGACGCGTCCGCCTTTAACTAGAGACGAAACGAGGTCGGCGAACAATGGCCGAATTTCGCGATCTTATCGGCGGTTGCGGTTAACGCGGTAACGGGAGTACCGACATTTCGGTGCGCAAAATGGATCACCGGAGACGATCCGTCGGGTTCCGGTCCTCCGCGGGTTTTATTCCCGGGATAAAAGTGCCTCGGGAAACCGGAGAAGCTGTCAACTCCGAGCCATGCATCTGCCACTTACACTTACAAGAGGCCGAGCGCGTCTCTTTCCCCTGCGGCCATTTCGTTACAATTACAATTATCGCCTCTTTCCCTCCTTCGCTCCATTTGTCGGTTTTATTGTGTTTTGACATCTTCCACTCCGATTTCACCGGAGATCTCTCACGGATACCGCGTCCAATATATTTCGAAGGTTTCGAAGAATCCGAAAAGGTACTTTCGCCGGAAACGTAATACTTCGAGGTCCGTACGAGAAGTTGGCCGAAAGGGCCAACAGAAATGTCATTAATCGAGGAAACATTTATTTTAACGGTCTCAAAGAATTTCACCGGGACGATTAAACGTATTTATCGTTCGGGCAATTGTTCTCGCATTAACGGCAGAGTTTAACGTATCCTCCCTTTTTTTTTTTTTCCCCGTTAACTCAGCCGAACTCGCCCGCATTCCGCGTGCGGATTTCGACGCATTGTATTTCCGGCGCGACGTAGGGGTATTATTTGCGACAAAACGCGTAACGACTGCAACGAGAGCCCCATGGCCGTTCCTCGCGCCATATTGTGAGGTTCGGGGGCGAAATTCGACAACAACGGAGAGGGGCCGGGGGAGGGGGATGGAAAATCGTGTTTTGTAAAAGCCGAGCGGCGGGCATGAGACCGGCATGGCGGATGCTTACAAATAGTTGCAGGGCGGCGCTCCGTCCACCTCGGCGCTTTTAATGCGCGGCCTCCTTTTGTCGGTGAATCAAACGAGGTTGCGGGGCCGAGGCTAAAAGGATTCCAACGGGGCCCGGGGGGCCGGGCCCATCCTGCCCCCTCCCTTAAGAATTTACGGAACAACGCGTCGAGACCTTAGGTCGCGCCGAAAAAAAAAAAAAAAAAAAAGAGGAAATTCAACTAATTTTCTGAGCTCGATATGGCGAACTCCCGAATTTCTCGAATTCAAAGACCGCGCGGGAAAGCCGAAAAGAGAAGAGGACGGAGAGACGAAATTCGGACGCGAGCGATATCCGGCTTGGCCGCTAATAATCGGCATAATTTCCCGGCTCCGCGGGCGGCGAAGTTGGGAAATGGCCGAGTGAAACGTTATCGGTCGGAGAAGCGGCGCGACGGCGGTATCCAAACAGCGGAGGGGGCGGCCCGAGTTTGGATGCGACACGGAGCCCGCGCGGCGGCCGTGAGAGCGGCCGGGGTGGAGGCGCCGGAGAGAAACGGATAGACGACGAGCCCTCGAGGGGGAGCGAGACGCGGCGAGGGGACGAGATCAATATCTCGACGACGAGGGCGTGCCGCCTTCCTTTGGCCGACCCTCCGGGTGCGGATTGGCGCGTCCCGACGTAGGGGCGCCGCGACGCCGAACGCGACCGGCGAGTCGGGCGGCAGGAGGCGGGACTCCCGGGGCGACCTGGTGGGGCGCCCGGGCGCTCGGCGAGAGCGGTCGTAAATCACGCGAGCAGTCGGTCGGTCAGTCAGTTGGTCGGGGCGTTGCGGGCGAAGCGGCGTAAATTTTCGGACGAAACCGGGAGTCACGTCCCCCAGGAAGTTAAAGGAAAACGGGAGGAAGAGGCGAAGAAGTGCCGGGTCGGGGGGATCGGGACATGGGCGCCGCGAACTGGTAGCGGGACGAGAACCGGGAAAGAGCGATCCCCGACGGGGAAGTCTGCCACCCTGGGTATATTCGGCGCGATGTGCAGCAACGAGAGCCCGCCTCCCTCGAAGGAGCCCCTGGCCGTCGGCCTCGGGGGCACGGGCGCGGGGGGCGGCGGGCCCATGGGGTTCCTCCCGGGCTTGGAACACTATCGGCTGCAGCTCTACCACTATGCCATGGCCGAGCGCCTCAGGCTGGCGCAGCAGCTTCACCCCCAGCACCCGGGCGTGGGCCCCGCGCCCGGCTCGCCCGCCCACCTCGGGATGAGCCCGCCGGGTTTCTCCGCTCCGCTTCCTCTGTACCCGGCGGCCGCCGCCGCGGCCGCTGCCGCCGCCGCCGCCGCCACCTCCGCCGGGTATCCCAGCCGCCTCGCGCTTTCCATGGCTCTGCTGCACCCCCATCACCAGCGCATCCCCGAGGAGCCCAAACCCCAGCACAGCTACATCGGGCTCATCGCCATGGCCATCTTGTCCTCGCCCGAGAAGAAGCTCGTCCTTTCCGACATCTACCAACACATCCTCGAGCACTACCCCTACTTTCGCACCCGGGGTCCCGGCTGGCGCAACTCCATCCGGCACAACCTCTCCCTCAACGACTGCTTCGTCAAGTCCGGACGCAGCGCCAACGGGAAGGGCCACTACTGGGCGATACACCCGGCTAATCTGGAGGACTTCCGCCGGGGGGACTTCAGGAGACGCAAGGCCCAGAGGAAGGTGCGCCGACACATGGGCCTGGCCGTCGACGAGGAGCCCGACAGTCCCAGTCCCCCGCCTCTCCCGGCCACGCCGCCGCCCCCGCCGGCCGCCCTGGCCCCCCGACCTCTGCCTCCCGGGATCTGGAGCCCCTCGCATCCCCACCATGCCCAGCAGCCCCCGCCGCCCCCGCCGCCTCCGCCACCCCTGCCTCCGCCGAGGCATCATCATCATCATCAGCTTCCCTTCCAAACCCAGTCGGCCGCCCTCCGGAGGTCCCTCCAACCCTCCAGGAAGAGACAGTTCGACGTCGCCTCTCTCCTCGCCCCCGATGATCATCACCTTCTGGATCCCGCGGTCCTCAGGCCCCCCAAGACTCGCCGGTCCAGCTGCAGCGAGGACGAACCCGATCGGGACGACGAGGACGTCGACGTCGACGTCGACGTGGACGTTGACGTCGACGTGGACGTCGTTGCCGAGACCAGCGTCGCCTCTTCCCCTGGGACTCCACCTTCCGTCAGTCCCGACGGTGTCCCCAAAAGGATTGGCGTCGACTCCGCTCCTACCCCCTGCACCTGGAACGGGCAACTGCATCATAACGAGCGGAACCCCCGGAACAACGTATCGCCGCATCAGCAGCTGTCCGCTGTGCATCTTCACGAGCATCTGCACGTGCGGAATTATTACGTCTCGGCTGGGACTGGAACTGGGTCCGCGGTTAACTGAATGCTGAATATTTCGGCTCCTTGAAGCCGATTCCTCGGGACGGGGGAGAGGGATCTAGTTCGTAGTTTGGAAAAATGATCGCGAAACTTTGAGCCCTTTTTGAACCGATACCCCGGGGCGTACAAGGAGTTCCATTCCGGTGTTTGGACTCGAAATTTGGGCTCCCGTCGAGCCAGAACGTGCGAGAGGAGTTCTAGTCCGGAGGTTGCGAGGAATTAAGGTTACGCGAAAGCGTCATTCTATGTACATCGAGACTCCGAATTCCCTTTTTCGTGCAATCGACGCGAGAGGACCAGCGCCGATCGCCGTTGAAAGTGCCCAAAATCTGTCAGGGAAATGACTTGAAAATTTATGTGTCTGCCCGATACGCGGAAGTACTGCTTGCGTCCAGACCTAAGGATGTACACGTATCCTGTACGAACTCTTAACTACCCCCTGTATGTATGTACCCCACCCGTGTATCTGTACTCGAGTACCAAGTACCTATCGCGCGATAAGGCTCGCTCGATCGAGGACGAGTTAAGGTGTTATGAAAGTGTCATATATATATACCAGAATGTCATAATATTACGCTTTCCTTTAAACCGTATGCACGGGATAATTTGAAACTTTAACACGTGGAGATCCTAACGAACGTCTTGAAACTCGCGAAATTTCACTTTTCGAAAAAGAAAGCTTATTTATCCCGGGCGGGAACCGATAAAAGAAATTTCATTTCTCGAAAAATGAATTTTCGTGAGTTAGGATCTCCGTAATCGCGTATAAAGTTTCAAATTATTCGGTGCACCTAGTTTGGAGAAAAGTTTTATCGATATTTTGGCGCTTTGATATATATCGAATGACCCTTGCATATCACTTTAAGTTCTGGAGCAGGACGACGTCCTGCGACGCCGGCGCGGATGTTTAATAAAATGTTTGTTCCCACGATGCGTCTCTATGAATCTGCGTCTCCTTCACCTGGCGAACGTCCGGATGGCGCAATTATTAATCTCGAGTACCTTGAAATTATCTTTCGACGATTTGCCGCCACCCCCGGTAAGCCCTCCGAACCGAAACTGCATTATCTCATTAAAATAAAAAATAATTACTCCTAGTAATTTTATGAGTCATTCAGGTATTTTATATATTAAAATTGGAAGGTCTGGAATAATGACGGGATACCTACGAATTTGACATGGGGATACTCTTCGGTGAGCTTTATTGTGAAATATTGAATTTATGGATAAATAAATCAATTTCATTTTTGGGATGGAGAAAATTGCAACGAGGTACGTTTATTTATCTGTATAAATTAGAAGTCTTGTCTCAGGTTGGCAACACGTTACTTCAATTAGTCTCTTCGGGTAATAACGCAGGATTTACGTAAAGTCAAGAGTGCAGGTCCGGGGAATCTCGTTAGAAACGCGAAGTACTCGTGAGGACTACTTGTCGTGATAATAAGAGGCGCCATTAGTGTTGGCAGGCGCTTCGAAAATCAAACTTATTTAAATATCGCGGTCGGTCGAATGTTTGACTTTTATTAAGAGACATTCCCTGCGCGAACCGGTCCGCATTTTTTAGTCGAAAGGATGTCACGCTTTTCCTTGCACATTGTCGCAACAAGTGTCCACGTTATTACGGGACGTAATTAAAAGTTTTACTATATCTCGATATGGAAAAGTACTTCGGAAGTCATGAGCGCACTTTGGCGAGCGATTACCGGTTTCCGAGATAGATCCCGAGATTTCGGCATTTCGCAACCGGTCCGTTTCGTCGTAACCAATTTTCCTCGACAAGGGAATTCGTGCCTTTCCCGTTTATCCGGGACTTGTCCCGGACTCATCCGGACGATCCCAAGACTTTTCGCACCTGGTCCCAAACCTTAGGGATCCAACAATTCAGGAATAACCCATTCGATCTGTTTATCGCAAATGATGATCCGCTCTAATGGGGAGCACTTCGAACTCTTCGCATTATCCCTAGTTCTAGGGTTTCCCTAAGGAGGAGCGACTAAATAACCCCATACCCTGAGAAGAAAAGAGTTGCACTAATAAAAATGCCTATGCAAATTTATATACTCGATCATTGGTACAATTGATGCAATGAAGTAATCGGTCTTTTTTGTTGTCAATAAAACAAACATGTTTCTGGGGAAAAATTTTGCTGACCCATTTTTATGTCTTCATATTTATTGAAGTAAAATTTCTTGTCGTGACTGTGAATTCTTTTCTTGTTAGGGTAACAGGGAAAAATAAGGGCGAGTTTCTCGGGGTAAGAATAAAAGATACAGGAGAGAAGTCGCGATTTTATCAGGGAGCACATCTCGAGGCTTCTCTCCGAAGCTGAAGAGACTGCGACGACCACCTCCATTGTCTCTTCCGGTTCTTCATCAAATGAAACCTTATCGACATAGTATACCGTAGCCAAATCCCGACGAAGCCGCACAACAGGATGAAAGCAATTTGTTAAATATTGCCGGCGACGTAACAAACACCGAGAGCCCTAGCAATGCCCGATTTAAAAGGTTATGAAGGTGGAAAAGCGATCCGCGATTTGCGCGCTCCTTCGAGAGGATCGTCCTAAAAAAATTTGATTTTTTGAGCGAGTGTGGGAAAGATTTTCCCACAGGAGTGGAGGAGAAAAAGGGTCCTTGGTAGAGCAGAGTCACGAGGGAGAGAGAAGACGTGGATAGACATCCGGGGTCCACTCGAGCATCCGCTCGGAGGGTGTTAGAAAAATAGCAAAGTCCGCTTGCTCGGAGCTCCCGACTATGCAAACCTTCTAGGTTTGTTATTTCTACCCAAGAAGTGGAACGATCGCCGAGAGTTTCCTCGAATGTTTAACAAATAATGACTGCGCAACTGGAATCACCTGCCGCTCTTTGCTGGACATTCTTCTTTGAGATTTTTCTACTTTTCCATTCGGATCCTCTCGAATGTGTTCTTTTATGTATGAAAAATTCAAAGATCAAGTATTCGCATTTTTAATTCCAGTAGGATGAATCGTGCATTCTGTTCGCCATATTTTTCACGGAAATTTCGATGAAAGGGAAGTCGAGGAAAGGGTCAAGATGGTACCAGAAGATTGTGGAAGGTCAGGGCTCGGGTGGCGTTACCAAAGGTTCAGATATTCTGGTAACCCTTGTCTCCTTTGATATGCATTGTGTCGATGCATTCGGAACGCATCGGTGCAAGAGGTTGCATCTCGAACGAGCATATTTGCGTCCGGCTTCCGTTTTGTCGAAGCAGATCTCAAAAGTAGATTTGGAGCACATTTCGGCGCAGATGCGTCCGTTCGGATTTCTTTTTCCTAGACTATTCTGACAGGGAAAAGGGTCGTTCCCATCCCCCAGATTTCCCTTAACTTGAAAAATTTATAAGTGGAAATTAAATATTGAATATAAAATACCAAGTACTAAAAGTTAAATGTTAAGTACGAAAATCCAGTGAATTTTCAATTTAAGCAAATTCCCCTATAAAATTCTCAAGTGCAGGATAGAGAACGCATGAGGGGTCCTTGAAGATATTTTTTCCCGATTCTTCCGACGGATTCCGGTGAGATATTTATTATTAGCCGATTCTCGAGTGGGTCACGACCGGTCAGGATAAATGGAACGTCCCTCCTTCGTCGGGCATTTTCCGGGCGGATTTTTCCCGTAAGGCCCCATAAGTAGGCCCATTCGAGGCGCAAGGGTCAGGTGCGACGCGCGATGCCACTAATGCCTAATAATCCATTTATGAGGGCCATTGTTGGAAATGCGTGAATGGAGACCGATGTATTTTTAGGATCTGCATTATAGTCCGAGAGGACGACTCGCACAATGAGTCCTTTTTCGCCCTTGCGTAGATTTCGAGCCTGCGACCGTTTCCTCGAGAATCGCCATGTTCCTCTTCGCACTTCCGTCGTCCGTTGAACCAACGCGAAAATTTCTTCTCAAACTTTGTTAACGAAAAATAGGAGCAGCACAACAGTTGCGACGGAGCTGGATATGCAATCGATGTCTTAATTATTTTTCCTCGAGAGCGATTTTACCGGGCCAGCACTTTCGGACAAAGATCGGCCCCCGGCCGCGGAAAACGTTGCGGAAACGGTGCGGAATGAACGCGGGCCCCGGGGCGCGCGCAGCTGGCCCTGCGACGCGCAAATATAATGGCGTCGCCGACAAAATACGGACGTCGAGGCGTCCAAGTGTGAACGATCGCTGAAAACACTCCGAGGAATCGTCGCGAGCTTTGTCTCGATTGTTGCAAACTACTTTGTTACCGCTCGCTCGGGCGTCCATTTTCGTAATGCCCCGAGTGCGGATTAACGAAGCTCCCTCTTTCTCTCTCTGAAAATTTTGCTCTTTCTCTCGACGTTAAAACGGCACGAGCGGTTTCAGATAGACGGGCTCGAATGGATAAATAATTGCGATTGTGCCATTAATTTTCTAGAGTTTCTCGATTTAACCGTTTACGCGGATAAATTAAAAATCGGACGAGCAGGTTTTGAAATTACGCGACCAGCTATCGAAATTGAAAAGACCTCCCCCGCGATTTGGCCACGTGACGACTCATTGAATCGTCCCGAATCGACGGAAGCGACGGATGCGCTTTATCGCAACCTGTTGTTACGGTCATTGCTGACATCGCGGCGATTGTTATCGTCATCACCGATAGGTGCTCGGAGCGACATAGCCGCTGCCGTGACTTTCGGCTCTGTCGGGAATAACGAATCAAAGTCGCGAGGGACAGTGCAGGGGTATTAGTGCAATTGGAAATTCACGGATTATCCTGTTGCCGGATGGACAGGGAAAATGGAGAACGCTGGGCTTTCGCATTAGCGTCCGAGCCGATAATGGCCGGGAAGGAATCGAAAAATCGAGATTTATTATACAAAGAGTCGTTGCCGACCGCGACTCAGCGCAGAACTCGCGGGCGAATCGCGAAAATATTCAACCACCCTGAGAATAAAGATTGCTTGTCGTACAATGCTGTTCTTTGGTAACAGTGCAAATGTCTTTTTGTCCGCGTGGGAACCCA